CCTTTACGCCTCTACCTACAAAACAATTATTAACATCACATTATGTGCCACTCGAAACCAAGCAACTTTTATTTGACACTTTTTCTTCTATTGTTACGAACAAGCGAGTTATTCAGGTGACCTGTTGTAAATGCCCCTCCCTGTATATATATTATGTTGTAATATTGCTGCAACATTACGTATCAATATTTTTTAAATGGACATTCTAAGGTTGCTGCAATATTGCAATCTTGCAATAAAATATTTTTGCAATGTTGTTGCAATGTTTCTATACGAGTCGAAATGTTTGTTTCTTTAAGTAAAAACATATCAAAATTTATATGATTTAATAATAAACGCTTAAATAATTTATTTATTACGCTCAAATCGTTAATTTACATTTAACTAATTTAAGTATAACGAACAAACAGCAATCGATAGCTCTCAGGCCCCTTTTACACTACAAATTATTTTAATATAAATTTTACAAAAAGCTCATGTGATTAGTTCAACTACAATTGAATTATAAGACTATGTATAATAACGAGTAATATAATATATAATATTTATATTGGTATAATTCTACTACAACCATTAAATCTAATTAAGGCTCCTGAGTAGTCACTTCAGCTATATTGAATTATGACGTCAAAAGCAAGAAATAATATGTTATTTTCTTGCATATCATTTGTAAGTAAATAAAGAGAATTTGGATGAAACGAAATGATGAGATTACTTTAAAATACTTGTAAACATAGACGAAGACTTTCCTTATCTTCCCTGATAGTCAGTAAAGAGTCGAAAAAGGCTGGGTGAAGTAAAAATAAATTATGCATGCGCATTGAGTAAAAACTAGTAAGTGTACTTTACGTGCTTTTTTTATAACTATTTATTGACTATCAAGAGAGATAAGGATAGCTTTTATCCATTTTTACAAGTGTTTTAAATGCGATCTCATCATTTCATTTCATCCAAATTCTCTTAAATTTATTTAAAAATGGCATGCAAGAAAAATCAACGTGTCGTTTATGACATATTTCTCCTTTATGACGTCACGATTTAATATGGCTGGAGTGAGTACTCAGGAGCCTTAAATCTAAAACGTTTTGACTTTTACTTAGTAAAAGTTTCTTCTTCAGTTATTCTAACCTGTTATCCTACTATATGTTAATATATATTGATTAATTGTTAAACTTTGATAAGAAACGCATATATTGACGTTGTTAGATTCGTATTTTCGAACTTACATTTTTATTCGTTTACAGAGTCCATGTATGAAATCGAATTTTCGAAACTTGTCTGTAAAGTATAAATTATTTTAAATTTAACGATCCTTTCAACTTAGTGTTAATAAAATAACATTCTTGGGTAATGTAAAAGCTTCCTTCTCCTTGCTGCCGCCGTTTTCGAATAAGATGTGATGGGCCGTGCTAGAAATTCGCGGCGTCACAGCGTATTGGCTTAGACGTTTCATTATTTAATTCGAAAACTACAGCGAATATCTCAAAATGTATAAGACTTTTTTGTTTCCCTTGATCTCTTCTACGCCCCCAATGTGACTTCTATCCCATTTCTGAGACACCCTGTATATATATATATCCTCTTGTACCAATATAGATTAACTTTAATCGGTTTAATTTACTTTTTATTTTGTTGCTGAATTAGAAAAAGATAAAGAGTAAATTAAACAAAGATTAAAATTAATCTATATTAATAAAAAAGAACAATAATAAGATATAAATGACGGTTATCCAAGAACCATATTAGAACATAAAAGTTATAATAATAGCATAAGGACATCATCATGATCTTATTTGTCATTTGTAAGTTCATTTTTAAGTATCAAATGATGTCATGATGACATCTTATGATATTATTATGATTTAATTATGATTCTGCTTTTTACTTAGGTTTTTCTTTGTTTCGAGAAAATAATGAATAAATATCAATGATAAATAAGTATTTAAAACATTGTTTTTGCATCCTCCGCATCAGATTGCTGCAAGTAGCCGTGCTGGACCAGAACGAGAATTTCACAGACTCGGACATCCACTTGATCTTCAGTATGCTAACCGGCAGTGCGACTGGTTATAAAACTCTGTTCAATTTCTTGCTCGATCACTGGTACACCGTAAAAGAGCAATTCGAGAACAAGACCTTCCTCTGGGACGGCATCGTCAATTTTGCCACGTCGTCGTTCAACACGCAGGAGGGTTACGATAAGGTGAGCAAGCTGTACATGGATCACCAGGACGAATTTGAGTCAGCGGATGCCATCATCAAGAAAGCGCTTAAGATCATTAATCAGGAGACTAAATGGAATGAGGAGAACGTGCCTGTGATCGATAATTGGCTCATGAAAAATCTATCTAAAGAAGATCTAGAAGCGATCGCGTCTTCGACATCCCCGTCTTCTATTCTTTCTACAACGAGCGTTCCGACAACGATCAAACAGCTAGACACGGAAATCCGATTCCACGGATGAATAAACGGACTCGAATCCGGCGTTATGGCATTCCCAATATCCGTAGAATATAATCTATATCTTCTCAGTTGCTTCGAAGTATTAGATTTCTTTTCTCAATCATAATTATAGTGGAATGTTTTCTTGCTTGACAAAAATAAATAGAAAGATAGCGTCGTACAGTAACTTCGCTCCCTTATATATAATTTTTATTAAAATTTTTGATGTATTATAGCAATAATCTTTAAATCAAACATGCTACAAAGATTTTTAGAAAAATCGAATGATTGGAAAATGTGAGACGTGACAGCGTGATTAAAATGCGACGAGAATGTAACAATTTTTCCATCCCCTCTCTATCCTTCTATAAATGCAGTTAAAAAAGCCGATTTTGAAAAAATAATGTATTATATATTTAAATTTTTATTTTTGTAAAACAAATAAAAATCGATATCAATCGTGACACATTTATTCTCCAGACGAATGAAGTGTTTCTCAGGAAAAAAAAAACATAAAAATCGTTCATAATTAAGGCGTAATTTAAATTAAGATTTTTATACAATACATATAATGTGAAATTTATCTCTCTCGATGAATAAAATTAATATTATATAATGTTAGGGCTTTGTTAACGTACAATATATCTTATTTATTTAATCAGCAGTTATGTACATTTAATACATGTTAGGGAAAACACTTTGTAGTCATAAATTTATATAAATCTATAACAATGAATACAATGTATACATATCAATATTATTAGTATCACACAGTCGCATTTCCATAATTTGGAAACAAAAATATAGAAAGCTACAAGATTTATATTTTATATAATTATACAAAAGAGAAGCTTATTCGTATTAAATTCAATATCACATTAGAATGATTAAATTTATGTTTTATTGATTTATTGATGTTATTAATATATTAATTTATTATAAATAATAAAGGGCTAGTGAGCCAAGCTGATTATTCGTGCTTATATGTTTATACTTAAATAATTTTTATTTTCACATTAAATAATATTATAAACACAAATAATCAATTTGACTTACTAGCTCTTTATTATTTATATTGAATTTTTATTCCAAAGAGCCAATTTTTGTGTCTTAATTAATATATTAATTCATATTTTGCATGGTTCTTCATTTAAATACAATTAAGATACGTATTAAGGTTAATCATCGGGGCAAAACGCGATGAGGAAACGGGCGAATGGAGAAAATTACACAACGCAGAATTACATCAATTATATAATAGTCCGGATATTATTAATGTCATAAAATCGCGTCGATTAAGATGGGCAGGTCACGTGGCGCGTATGGATGAGAATCGAATTGCATATAAAGTACTAATTGGTAAACCGGATGGGAAAAGACCATTGGGTAGACCAAGACGTAGATGGAAAGACAATATTAGAATGGACCTTAACGAAATGGGGTACGAGAGTCACAAATGGAGGGATCTTGCTCAGGGACGGGAACAGTGGCGGGATTTGGTTTTTGCAGCAATGAGCTTTCGAGTTCCTAACGCCTAATAATAATAATAATAATAATAATAATTAAGGTTAATCATAATTACACAAGAAATTATACTTACAGTTTTATTCGATTTATGAATTAACTATTAACTACAAAAAATATATTACTGATACATATTTTCTGTATATGTGTATTTACTTCTTCAAATATTTTCTATTCTATGTTACATGATACGCAATATTATAAATAAAATTCTGTTTTGAATTTAATCGAAAATTATAAATCGTCTAAAGTGGGCTTTATAAGGGAAGACAATTATCAACGATAAAATTTATTCTACTTTTTTATCTACTTCTATTTTTATTTCATCATCTTTGTCTTCTGCTTTGTTTCTTTCAGATCCATCATCTATCGTTATAATTGATACAGGAGGAATTGTTGTAAAATCAATTGTAATAGTTTTTTTCAACTCTTTTATTTATTTTTTGGTCTTTTGCACAGTTTTATTACTATCGTTTCCTCTAGTTTCCGCAGTACACGTGGAAATTTTTTCAATTAATCCAGGAAAACAAATAATAACCAAGAACCAATGTGCACTATAAATATTATATTGTTATAAAATGATATAATATCTACGCTTATGTTACCATAAGTCAATAGAATTTCTTGAATAAAATAAATAAAATTGATTGACTCGTTTATTACAAATTACAAATTTAATATAAGATAAATTACAATACAATAAAACTTCAATATTTTTTCTTTTTCTCACATTGCGTGCAATTCAATTCTTCGTGTATATAATAGATTTCTTTATCTGATGTCCCAATAGTAATTCTAACTTTTAAGTGGGGTTGTATCAGAAAGCATTTTAGAACCGGCCTTTTTTCCTATTCGGCCGGATAACTGGATTATTAGTATCCGGTAATATATATCCGGCTGAAATTTTACATTAAAAATTTGCGTTACATGGATACAAATTTCTATTCTTTTCAACTAAACTTCTTGCAGTTTATCTTTCCACTTTTTTTTACGTTGAAAAGATAAAGAAAATTATTATTGCTATTTTTCCCTCGTTTTCTTTTTCTCCTTTTTTTTTCAAAAAAGAATGGAGAAATTATAAAATTAGAAAATATCCGCCCGGACAATTACTCTATCGGATATCCGATCAAATAACAGATGATGTCATGTTCTTTCCAAATATCCAATATCCGATATCTGGCATTTTATGATCTGATATATCCCTACCTTTAAGATTCTCTGTTCTGAGTTTAAATTAATATTAAACTTACAGAATTACTTTCTCTTTATTTATAGGAATTATAATAAAATCTTTTCAAATATATCGACGTCCTTCGTCCACGTCTGTACTATTGCGTGCCGCTTAGTGTCATTGGTATTTTTAGCATCTTGGACATATGAAATAGTTAAACGTTTGTAAAAAACCGAACTAAACACATGCGTTCTATGTTAATCACAAATTCTATATAATACCTCTAAGATCAAATACTTTAAATAAAAATCTATAATTACATCATTTAAGAAATTGTCTTCTGCGAGGCACAAGTAATGTTCAGTATTGATGGCTATTCCTCCTTTTGCAGGAGGTAATGGATATATAACTATATTCTTATTCTATAAAAAGAAATAGTTTTCATACAACAAACATTCAATAATCACATTCACCACAAATTTATAATGCATAAAGAATCGAAATAATATTAGGTTAGATAGATGAGATTGTAAAATTTTATTCGACATATCAAATATCAAATTATTAAAAGATAAAAATTTATTATTAATAAGATTCTCACGTTTGTATATCATCATTTTCTACATCGATAACATTTGTTAAGTTTTGATTTGATTTTTCTTCCTGTATAGTAATAAACAGTTATAACAAATTCTGTGAAAATACATGTATATCTGTTATATTAAAAAAATATATATGTTATATTATATACAGGGTATCCCAAGAATTTTTTCAAAATTTTTTAGTACCGTATTTTCTCATGTTGGTAAAAATAAGAAAAGTAGTATAAAGTCGATAAAAAATTTTGAAAAAATTTTTAAAACTCTATAAGAAGAAAATAAACAATTTTTCTCTCTTGTTTTTCTGTATAGTTGATAGTAAAGGGTGTCCCAAAATTAACGCAAGATTTGAATTAAATAGAAAACACAGTTTTTAGTCTTTTGATTGTTATTTTTTTATTGAATTATAAAATACATAGGATAGGGTTATTTGTGGAATAACACATCAGGCAAATGGCCTCCATGGCTTTGCATGCACATACGCACTCGTTTGTCGAAATTTTCCATGACCATTTTGCATAAATGTGGCTGAATTTCGTTGATGCAGCGTTGAATCTCCTCCTTTAATGCACGGGTGGTTGTGGGCTTGTTGACATAGACCTGTGATTTCAAATAACCCCATAAAAAGAAATCTAATGGTGTTAAATCACACGATCTAGGGGGCGATTTTGGCGATTAAAAAAGCCATCAAGGTGAAAATGTGCTTCATCGCTTAGGATGATTTTGCTCGAAAAATCAGCATCCATTTGTTGATGTTCAATAATCCATTTTCACGCTCCATTTTCACTAACCCTAAACTGTCAGCTGTTAAATTGTTTTTTTTTCGGTTGCCAACACTTTACTGCACAAATGGCGGCAAATTCAAATCTTGCGTTAATTTTGGGACACCCTTTATTTGAGTAAAAAATTATTGAAAACCAATTTTCGACAATTTTTAGTAATTAATATCTCGTTAATTATTGCAAAATGGTAGAGAACTTTTCGACTCAGTTTAGTCCGCTCTATCCGCCCATGAAATATTTAGTAATTATTTTGGGACACCATAATAAATAAAATATAATTTAAGCAAATATGCATCTTTTGGTGCTATCCGTTGAAGTAAATCGTTAGCTTTTTGAAGAGTTAATTTGACCATTTTATTTCCTCATGAAAATAAACTTATTAACATTGTCTTTGAATTTCCCAGAAACTTATTTGGTAATAATGTAATATATTTATGCGAGATCTAAATAAATAATAAAAATATAAAGTATTAATGGAGTATAATGAAGAAGGCCTGATTGAGGCCGAAACGTTCATATTTATTGTTTATATACCAACAGAATAAAATATTATCTCGCTACCACAAGAACTTGCGTTCTTGTTTATTTGATTAATTTAAAGTATTAATCATTTGAGTTTGCTATTAAGAGAATCCTAAAGCCGCCTATATTACTAAATATAAACTATGTAACTTTTGTATAACATTAACATTTTCCCTCTTTCACAGATTTGAAAATTCCTTTCCAAGATTAAAATATAAGCATTAATGGGTATCTATAAGGTGGGATTTATGCTAAAAATAACAAAAATTTTAAAATTGAGATTTTTCTCTATTTTTTAGTCCAATTTGGTCTCTGAATAAGCTGTCAATTGAGACATTTACTTTATATAAAAGCTGTGCAGTCTGTACTTACGAAATAATACTCCACAAATTAATAGTTTGCACAAAGAAATAGCATAGAGATCTTAGAATTGAATTTAAATGTTTAATTAAAACGTTATTGTTATATGTATTTATGCATATGAGATATTGATGTAATAGTACGTAGTGATGTATCAATGACATAAATTGTCTGCGTGTAAGTCCTACACTATATAATTATACTCTGTTCAATGAGAGAATGACCTCGGTTTGCACATAGGAGGCAATGTAACGCTGTACAACGCTATGAAGATCTGCGCGAAACTTGAATAAAGTCGCGTCATCATAGAGATAACGATCTAAAGAGAAAAGCATCAGGTGCTCAGGGGAGTTCAGCGGGTGATGGCTATTCTAAACGTGGGGCCCACTAATGCATGGGGCCGCCAATCTATGGAGGACACTTGCCTAAGTGATTTTAAGTGTCACCAAAAGTGTGCCGGCGCTGGTTTGTCGCGCCGTACCTCAGCGCCGTCTGTCGCGATAAGAAGATACTGTTGATCCCATGTCGTCGCGTTGGTGCGACACAAAAGAATATATTTCTTATCTTTGTGTTACCGAGTAATAATTATGTTATTAATACAATTATTAGTCGCGTAGGTAAGTGAGGCTGCTAAGGCTGATTCGCGTCCTTTCTTCCTTCCTTCTATGTTGCGTTGGTGCGTGCTTCTTCATCGAAGAGCATTGGTTTAGTTATTTCGTTATTATTATTTATTTAATTATGTTGACGCGAAGATGCTTATTTATTCCAGGATTTAGTAGGATAATTGAAAAGACACGAATTCGTTTAGTTAATAAAATACAAGTATATTTAGTTATTTATATACAAGTATATTTACTAAATATTACAATGTCGTTAATATTATACTAGTTTAACGAATTAATGGAATAACTAGAGTTAAATGGTTACACTTATGAAACTGGATTCGAAATTAAGAAGTGCACGCTGCACTTGAATTAAGCAATAGACTTTGAGTCTCGAACAAGAAATGGTAAGAACTTGTCGCGCAGCTGGCTACGCGGAAATACGTTACGACTGTTCTAGACGGCGCCCGGATTTCAACTAACTGGGAGCGTCGCTCGGTCACTCCAAACAGCGTCGGTTCTCCCACGCGCGTCAATTCCCCTACTACGCCGAGACGGCGCGCTGCGTTGGTGGTGGGGTCTTATTCCTCCTACCATCTCAAAACAGGGCCTCGTCCCTAGAGAGGGGATACGCAGGGACGCATTTATTAAGATTTTATTTCTCGTACAGGAGCGCAGTCTGCTTTATAATTTGATATGTAGGGACACAGCCTGCTTTTATTATTGTTTAATACCTATCGCTAAGAGTGTTACAATTTGGTTAGTTGTGTGACTTAATGCTACTTTTAGCGTGAAAAAATGTCTGATGGTAGTGTGCGTTCGAGAGGGACGTCACAGACTCCCCCCCCCCTCTAATTTTAAAATATCGACGTATGTCGATATTTTACGCTTACGCGTCTGAGTCTTTATTGTAAATACCTGCGGAATATAGATAATGTGGAGATTTTACACGCATATCATTTATATCACTTGCACTTGGGGTTTTTGGGCCGGGACGTTGTTCTTCGAAGAGTGAGAGGAGACCTGTAGGAGTAGTATCTTCAGGTGCCGTCGGCTCCTCCCATGGTCTGCCTCCTATGTGCAAGAGTAGATGCGTTATCGAGCTCCAGACTGCTCCCAGCAGGTGCGTGCTCGATCCATACACGGAATGTAACCCATGTATTAAGGTATCGATTACTAATTTTATCACTCTGATGATGATGAATACCGTCAGGACTCCTGCGCTGGCTGATCCGAATGTCACGAATCCGGTCCATAGCCTTGCTCCTGCAGACTCCGCAATTCTATTTAACGAGTCCGCGTCTAATAAATTGATGATAAAGACGCTCTCTGATTGAATTGCGCCTCCCATGGCTCCTCGGGCTATGATGTTGAGCATCGATGGTCTCTCTACTGGAAACATGATATGAGACCGCAAGCGGTCGACGTCCTCGTTGCTATAGATTCCGCTAGAGATGACAGGCTGGTGTAGTACCAGCTAGCCTTGATGAGCGGCTCGATAGTCGGCGGTGCTCGATGGATTTAGGTATCAGCCTGAACTATATCCCATGAACTTTGTACATAATTGCGAAGAGATCGTTACAGTCCCTCTGCGTACCTGTTCTTGACAGAACCCTGGATCGTGATAGCAAGAAGAATGAGACGTTTCTGTGAGATACTGAGAGTTCATTGTAGCATTGCTCAGCGTCTCGTATTTTCACTTCCACCAGAATACATTTTACTAAGTGGATTACCTCTCCGGTCGTCACTGCGTGTACCCTGGCTCCTTAGTGATCCTGAAAGCCATCTCGTCGGGTGCGATGCTGGCGAGAGTGAGCGCGTTTTCCAGTTTCTCCAATGCGCATTTTTGTTTCATTATGTCCCTGTATAATTGCGTAAGTTGAGTTTTTATGTGCTTCTCTACGTACATAAACTTGGAGTTTTCGAGAAAGATATCCAGATTCTCGATCTTGACCTTCGATCGACTGTGGAAGGTTTGTCCCTTTTACGTTTCCAAAATAAGGAACTTCGGATATTCCGTCTGTACCAATCTGTACCCGCAGACATCGATATCTGAGGTTTTGGTGAGGGCAAACGAGGTATCCTGAGTCACCGTGTAAATCGTTAGCGTTGACTGGTTGTCCTTGGGCGACAATCTGGTGGCCAAGCCCTTGTAGAGAATGTCGTATTGAAATGGCAGTGATCGATGGGGAGGCCAAAATATCTCTGCTCCCTCTGCATCCATGCAGTATTCCGGGGTGAGTGGGCAGTGCGTGCCTAATGGCATAATGATCTGCCCCGTTAATCTTCTGATCGGCGCTTCCATGGTCCGTAGAATGATCCTTATGGAGGCCTGAACGATTACATTATCCCATGATCCGTATACTGTGAGCCGGAACATTTCCTGTCTATCGTAGCTGATCCAGCGAGGGTGACGCTCCTCAAGTTTGTGGTGTTCTGCTTAACTCTGTCTATTACTGCGTTGGCGTTTCTTATGGTACCTGCCTCATGAAGTCTTCGGCATTCCTGCTCGCCGATCTCTTGGAGGTACTCTCTCTTTCCGTTATGTATTGCCGATATATGAGAGTACATTCCGCAGTAGTGGATGGTTCGATCGACTTCCACCTTGCACTGGACAATAGTCGTTTGATCATAATCGCTAAGTTGCATAAGTTAAACGTAGACTTCTTCCTCTTTAGGTTTGATGTCCTCCATGTTACATTCTCCAATATTCAGGAGCGATAGAGTTGTTATATTAAAACCTTCACCTCCACATAGCCTATGAGTCCCATGACTAGAGGTAAGTGTATGAGGATTGCAGATGGTAGCATGTTTAATCTTCG